TGCTTTTCGATATGACCATGCTTGCTTCCCTGAGTCTTTACACTCTCCACCAGCAGAAGCCTGAAGACAGGAAACAGAGCCTGGTCTGGTTTTTAACTCTGTTGCCACCTGCAAGGTTGCCACTTAGAGTAGTGTCTTGTCTGGTGTGAAAATTGATCCAGTATATACAGGACTGAAAGTTCCAGCTCATTTCAAATAGGCCACCACCAAACATTCACCAAGAATTGTATTTTTTAACATCTTTAGAATTCTCACCAATATCAGCCCAATGGATTACACGATGGAACTGCAAGGGATGGACACATGTCTAGCTTGCTGGCTTTATCCTCTGGCTAGTGCTTGCTTGACGGATTTGATTTTTTAACTGCTTTTTAAGGGAACCGCTACGGGACTTATCTCACTATTCTTAAGTTATTTGGGTTATCATTGGATTGTTTGATAGTGTCCCTGAAGAGAGAGAGACTGTCAAAATGAGTGTCAACGTATCCCTGTTTTGTTCTAGAAGTGCTTAGATTTTGATGCTCCTTGAACTCAAAAGAGCATGCTGTGTCAGTATATTGCTCTTTACTCTTTGTTATATATTTGATTCTGCTAAGATACTGCATTTTTTTTGTATGTGTGGAACATTTCTTGTTTGAAGAGTCTCCCCTGACTTTGTCCTACTGAATTTTCAGTGCAGTTTCACGATGACAAAGGTGCCATAAACATTAGCAGTCCTGGCCATGTTTTAGTCAGCTTTTTTCTCCACCTGAGCTGTTGGAGTTGACCTTTTGGTTATTGCATGACAGCTTTTGTTTTAGAGGGAAACATGTAAAATTCATACGAAACTGTGATGAATTGATGACACTTGTATATATGGAGCATTGCAGCATGGCAAGCTCAGTCTTTCATGCTACAGTACCACGTTTGTTCTAGGAACTCCTGAAGGATTCCTAAGCTGGCATCTCCGTTATATTAAAATCTTGGCTTGACTTTAAAATGCTCTTTTAAAATACACACTGACAGCTGTAGTCAGAAACACACCACCGGGATTCAGACTGTCTGCCAACTTCTTGCCAGCTCTCTGTAATTTTGATTCTCTCGTAGGCAAGGTCCAGGGTACAGTCATAGGCAAGGTACATTTAGAGAGACAAGGCATGTGCAGAGCTGCTCATATATTTAATATTAGACTTTTAGATGCTGTCTATGTAGAAGAGGGAGAAAGGTAAGCTTCTAACTGGGAATATTTTAAAACATCTTAGACGGATTTGAGTGAGCGTGGGCTATATATTAAACATACTATGTGTACATTTCTTTTATATAAATGTATTCTATGTGCATGTCTGGTTATTTAACTTCACATTTAAAATCAATTGTGAAAGTGTAGAAGCTTAGCTTCAGTGAAATCAGTGGCAAAAAAAAAATTTGCATTTTTGTACACTAAAATTTCATGAAATGAAGTGGAATGGTGTGGCACTGAAGATGCATTACTGAAAGCTAGTTTTAAAACGTATTATTGTAAAGATAGGCAAAAAGCATTGTTAGAAATCATCATTCTTTGTGTGGGTGTCTCAGAAAATAGGATAGACATGCAACATGAAACAGTCTTAGGAAAACATTGTGACCTTTGTTATTTTGGCTTATGCTTTCTCAGGATAAATCTATTTACCTGCTCCCTAGAGGGCTGAAATGTTTGGATTGCATTCCAGTGATACTTTTTTTTCCAAAGATTCATGTAGTTCTTGAAGAAAGTCTCATCGTATATCATGCAATCCAAAGACCATGACAAGTCCAGAAGGCTCTTTTGCATTATTGTAATGAAAAGGAGTTAGCAGAGGGAAAAAACAAGTATGACTTGGTCATTGTAGTTCAGCCACCCAACACAAGATTTAGCACAGAGGGAATTTGGGGAGTATGCAGAGCTAACATGCATGCCCATTTTCATCACTCTTGCATGGCCATTTCAGTTTTCAGAAAATTGTGAGCTGCTTGATGTGAATATGTGTGGATGCTCTTCAGTTTCTTTGCAGCATGCAAAGAATATTTGCATGTGAAAATCTGCTGGTTTAGCTAAAAACCGTAAAGGTGAATGAATGAATTTCACTGTCAGAGATAAAGCAGGGAAGAAGAAACCAAGTATACTATCAACAGTGTTTGCTGTGTGCCAAATGATAAAAAAGCTCATCATATGCCATATGCCAACCGATTGGAAAATAAATTTGTGCCATATGTCAAGCAGTTGGGAACTTTGTTCAGTTTTGATGTGGCTATTCTGAAGCAAATGTGCATAAAAAAACATACGGTTTTTGTCAGCCAAGTGTGTGACAGTGCCATTTCCAGACTGTGCCATTCAACTGTGTTAATAAAACTAATATTTGTATTTTTTTGTTGAAGTGTTCCTCATCAGATGAAAAAAGAATTCTTCCAGAACCCAAAGAAAATGCAACCAAAAGCCAAAATCTCCCTCCTTTTTGTTTTTTAAAAGATCTCTTCCTTCCTGGCCCTGTCTAGGCACTGGGTTGTCAATGTCACGCTCAGGTGGGATGTCCATTTTCTGCGGATTCGTTCAAATCCTTATGTGAGTCCAACACTCCAGCTGTGGAAGTATGTATAAAAACAGTGGGCTGGCTCCAGACAGCAAGCAAGGGGGTTTGCCAGGCCACTAGTCTCACATGCAATGCTGTCGTCGCACAACATTCATCAGTCTGTTGCTCCTAATGTTCAGCATGCTGTGGACTTGCTTTTTATTTTCTTTCCATAAGGCACTTGTACAACTTTCACGTCGCTCTCGTTTAGAGGGGTGAGCCTGAGATGACTCCGTCGTTAAGTGAATCTCTTTCTCCCGTTGTTCTCTCCGCCAGTGAGTGCCAGTGAACCCGAACCAGAGACAGAGACAGAACCAGACCCAGAGCAGGAGGCTGAGGCTGAGGCCGAGCAGGGAACGGAGACACCCAAGGAAATAGAGGCTACAGAGGTGGGACCAGAGAGTGAGGTGGAGCAAGGACCAGAGAGAGAGCCAGAAGAAAGTGCAATACTCAGTGAAAAAGAGAGGCAGAATGAGGAAGTGAATGAAAAAGACAACTGCTCTGCATCCAGCATATCCTCAGCAAGCAGCACTTTAGAGAGGGAAGAGAGAGAGGACAAGTTAACCAGTGACAATGAAACTGGTAAAGTGAAGCTTTTTCAATAATGAAGGGTTTCTGGTGAAAAAAAAAAAAAAAGGTTAAATTAGCAGCTCTGTTGTTGTGTTAATTAGCTAACAAACCCTTTGTGCCTAAGACTTCCATCACCCTTGCCAAATCCGTTTCCATTCTCTGCTTGGAAATCCACAGACTGATGGGTTTTCTGTCTTTGAGGGACAGTAAGGCCTTGATAAAATGAGGTTTCCTTTGACTCGAGACGATTTGCTTCTCCTAAGACTAATGTGTTAACTGTTGAATCATCGTGTTGCAGCAACTTGCATCTCTAGCTCCCGAGAATTTTTGGGGGTTTTCTACACATAAAACAGTGAGAGGAGGAGCCCTGTTGACATGATTTGTCATGAGATTCCAGATACCTTTTCTCATGCTATTACCTGTTAGTGGAAGGGGAAGAGCAATGAGGACTGGGATGTTTATTCCTTCCTTTGTTTCCCATCTTGGTTAGACTTCAGAAAGCAGAGAGAGATACATGGGAACTGCTGAAGATAGGTCTGGGCTGTGGCCATCCTGAGCTCGTGTGGAGGAGGCACATGAAACAGACCTTGTCTGGAAAAGACCAGGTCTGTAGTGACCAGTGGTTCTGGTCAGATATGCCACCAGGCACCTGTAAAGGGTAGCCCAGCCTGGAAAACACCTTAAGAACTAGTTTTGTGTCTGGAGAGATAATGACAACCAGAGCTTGACACTCAGCCCAGGTAGGGAATAAAAGGCAGATTTTGACCTTCACTGATTGATTACTCTTTTCTAGCTTTTTATAGAGGTAAAAGAATGTGATGTAATTAGGGCATTTGGTTTCTGAGTCTTCTTAGGGCTGAACAGGCGAGTGCATTGTCCTGAGTTTTTTAAATTCTACATAAGAAAACAAAAATTGCTTCACAGTCCGAAATAGTCTTGCTCTTTTCTGAAAGAGGGATGACACTGAATCACAAGGATTACCTCACAGAGATGAACTGTCAGATTGTACTGTTCATGTTTAAACCCTATCACTTTTTTTTTTTTCTGGGAAGCATTAAGTTAATTTTGTTCTAAATTTATGAGCTATCTGCTTTTCACCCAACACCAAGATTGAGTTCCTTAGAATGGTATTGTACTCTTAAAGAATGTAGATGGATATATATGTAGGAAAGGGAGGGGGGGTATGACAGATGAAGGATGTCATTACACTGTGGCGTAGTCCAAGATAGTCCAAGTGCAAGTAAGGGAGAACAGGTTACAGGTTTTTTCCCCTCTTCTTGTCTGTTACCGCTCTAATTGAAGTGCTTATGTACTTTTTGTTAAAAGCTAAGAAATGTACCCTGTTATCGAAAAATCAACATCTTAAAATTTACCTACATTACCAGTAGATGAAAAATTTGTCAGGTTGTGCTATGTAGGAGGTGTCATGTAGTGAGTTGTTTGCTTTCTAGTAGGTGATGAGATTTGGAAAGCAAACTTTGATGAGTGGTTTTGCAAAGGGATTGAATCCTGGAGGATCCCAGCTGGTGAAACTGAGAGCGCGTAGGTCATGTGGGATTTGTTGAAAGGATCCTGGGAGCAATCTTGAACATCTTTGAAGGAAAGGCTGGGAGTAGGGGGAAATCCTCTGGGAGAGCTCAGCTGGGTGAAATCTATGGTGTGGGGAAGGAGGTGCCTAGTTGCGTTGTCTAGTGAAACTGCCTCAGAGACAAATCTGAGAGACTACCTCAGGTGACAAATCTTGGTGAGAAAGCAATCCCAGGGATAAAGTCTGAGGAAAAATAAACAGATAATGGAAGCACTCAAGTTTCCTGCAGGAAAGTAGAAGGAAATAATTTTGGAGGTTGTATCCATTGCCGAAAAACAGTCTCTTTTGTCTGGGCTTAAACCTCAGGACTCATTTTAAAATGTGGTTTAGAGGTTGATCTGAATAGAGCTGGGAACCCTTTCTGTCCATACGCTTTGTGCTGTGAGACCCATCCTACATCTCAACATAGTGTTATTTTAAAGGGGTAGGGGGGGAGTTGTGCGGCCCTGGATGTGGATCTTACCGAGGGGACACCTTCTCAGAGCACAGGGCTAGAAGTTTTGGTAAGAAAGCAACTCCCGTTGATGAAGGAAACCGTAGAAGATGTTTAAAACTGTAAAGTATTGAAAAAGGTGGAAGCATAAGGGAAGAAACAAATATAAAATGGAAGTTTAAGAGAAAGGGCAACTGACAGGTATAAAAGAAAATCTTTAACCACCAGGGGCCAAAAGGAAGGCAGGCTAGCAATCAAAATAAAATGTTTTTAAGAAATAAAGTTTACAAAAAACTTACTAATAAAATGTGTAAAGACTATGGGGAACAGAAGGAATCCCTTACAGGAAATACAGTAAGTGTGAAGAATTATCTTTGTCCATGTTTAATCACTTCATCTGATGCCCACTGGAAAATGAAGCACCATAATTTGCAGACACGTTATCCACATTGGTTAGCAGTATTATATTCAGGGAAATGTAGCCGAAGAGATGCTTACATAATTTATTTTTACAATTTAACTGCTATAGTTTTTTATTGATGGTGCTGTCTCAAACATGGTATTTTGCAGATTATTGTTGAGAAAAGCAGTAGTCAGAAAGATGAAGCTTCATTACAGTGACATGTTAAATGATTGTGATGTGAGAAGGCGGCCATTAGGCTTTCAATGCCATCATATATTACAGGGAGGGTAACAGTGGTTGATGAGCAGCATTTTCAAAACTCTTTTATGAAGGTGCTCATATTCCTAGAAATAACTTTAAAAACCTTGCTTATGCTTATACTCACTGATTTGCCCTGAGAGCTGTACCCTGGATATGCAGCCTGCTCTGGGATTCAAATAGTCCTGTTGTGAAGATGGCCCAGGCACCCAGCCGGGAGGTCTGAGGAAAAGCCAAATGTGAAAGCTGTCCTCCCCTAGCCAGCAGGGAGGGAGGAGGAGGAGGAGGAGTAAGCAGTTACATGTTAACCTTGACATCAGGCGAGGAAGATCTTTTTTATAAGGAAGTTTTCCTGGGGTGGTTCCAGTTTATGGCCAGGTGAAAAGTACGATGATAACCTATTTTGTGCCATTGTAATGATATTTAAGCCCCATTCCAGATTACTAAAGATTCTGAGCATTTATGCACTGTATAATATGAGCTGGGGTAGTAAGTACAAAGTGAAATCTGACAGATTTCAGGAGAAACCTGAACCTTGAAATCCTGACAGTTATGTGGTCCCTCCCAAGCTACACTGATTATTTTCTGCTTCCATTCCTTTTTTGAGAATTACCCCAACCCATCAAGATTGGGCCATATATCAGCACTGTCACTTACTTCAAAATTTTCAAAGCTACTGCTTGCCCAGTTTCAAACTAATTGTGCATGTGTCCCCCAATTTTTTTTCTGGTGGGCTGAAGAGTGTTCCCTCCCCTTGACTCGTCCCATCTGTGTGTGTGTGATTGCAGGTCCATGGTCGCAGACCATTCAGGATGCTGGTGTGAATGAGCAGTGCAGCAACATCCTCAACAACAAGCGGTTTATGCTGGACATGTTGTATGCGCATAACAAAAAGCCCAAGGATGAAGAGGAGAAGGAGCTGGAGGCGAAGGAGGAAAAGAAGGAGACGGAGGAAAGTGAGGAGTCACTCACTAGCCTAGCCAGTAGGATCTCTATCCTTCAGGCCACGAAGCAGGCCAAAGATGAAAGTGTCAAAAAGATGGAGATCGGAAATCTGGACAACCAAGGCAGCGTGAAAGCCTTTGCGGAAAAATTCAACAGTGGTGAGCTGGCCAAGGGGACAGCCGTGCCTGAAGATGAAATCAGTGAACAGGTCCCCGAGAAAACACCAGCGCAGCCAAAGAAGGAATCTGACTACATCTGGGATCAGCTCATGGCTAATCCTAGAGAACTTAAAATCAAAGACATGGATTTTACAGACTTGGGGGAGGAGGATGATGTAGATGTGTTGGACATGGATATGGGTCCTGGGGACTCCCTTGTTCCCCCTCCTCCACCTCCACCTTCTTTTCTGGGTTTGCCTCCTCCACCACCTCCCCCGCTGTTTGGATGTCCACCTCCACCTCCACCCTCTGCTAATTTATTGGCTCCTCCTCCGCTGTTCAGCACTCCTCAGGGTTTAGGGTCACCCCAGGTTTCCAGGGGTCAGCCAGCATTTATAAAGAAGAAGAAAACCATCCGTCTGTTTTGGAACGAGGTACGGCCATTTGAGTGGCAGTGTAAAAACAACAAACGCTGCAGAGAATTCCTGTGGTCGAAACTGGAACCCATTAAGGTGGACACTTCCAAACTGGAGCATCTCTTTGAGTCTAAATCCAAGGAACTGCCTGTCACAAAGGTACAACTCATATTCAGCTTGCTATGATTTTCCTATTGTATTGGTATTCATTCTGACGTAGATCTAGGTGATTTATGTTGTTTATATGAAAACAGTGGAAATTACTGGATGTGTTTCTAGCTTGGCCTGTGACGGAAGGTATTCCATGGCCTGAAACAAGGAGATGAAGCTAGGGTGGTATATGTGCCAAGCTGCCCTCTTATCTCAGGTCTACCGCTTTTGGGGTATCACCTCAGGTGGGGAATATCAACAAATTTTACATTAGGTTGTTTGTAGCTGAGTGCCAAACTAGGTATTGAAATCTGAAATATCTTCTGTTACGTTCATATAAAGGTCACAGCATGATGATTCATATCTGTGTATTTGACAGTTCTTCACTTGGTAATATCTTCCTAATCGTTATGTAGAAAGGTTAGAATATCAAACTGGATCTGCTGCAAAAAGCCTACATGTGTGCTTTGTTCTGAAGGATCAATTTATCAGTTGGACCAAGTTGACAGCTGAACTCTGCAGGGGTGTTAGGGTTTTGTTTTATACTGGTGAACAGGCCTATTTCAAATCCTTAATTTGTACAGTGTGGCTATCCAAATTTTAGGATAGAAGCTGGCACAGGAAATACCTCTGTAGCTAGGATTCCCTCTTCCTTAGGAGCATTGTTATAAAATAAATAAAATAAAGGGCTGGTGACATGGCTGTTTAACATTAGACTCAACAACAAAGGGAAGTCTTTTATAGTTAAATTTAGTAGGAATTTGAAGTAGCATTAAAAAAGTTACTAGCATGAACATTTGTTTTTCATGGCTACATAAACTCTTTTTCTTGTAAGCAGAATAATCGGTAGCAGGGAAACAATGTTTTTTTCCAGTTAAAATGCTAGTAAAAGATGTCCATCTCTCTTACTTAAAATAAGTAAATCACTTGTATGTTTTCTATGTATGCCTATATGTTTTATAGTGACATAAAAAACAGTCAGTACCTTGAATATTTTACTTCTGCTTGGCTGGCAAAATTTGTTATGTGTATTGTGTATCATATATATTATTGTTTGCTCTTAATCTGGGGAGACTGGATGTCTCACGGTAAAAGTTCTCCGTGTCCCTTGTCTGGGTTACTAACTCAAAATTTTCTAATACTCATTCTTGATCTTCTTGGCTGAGTCGAAACATTGCAATTTGAACAATCAAGCCCCTCATTAAGTACCTAACAAACAACAGGTACATAAAGATATGGCTCACGTAGATTCCTCCATCTCTGTTCTTAGGTGAATTTTCTGTGACACAGATGCATGTAGATCTGAAACGTATGGCATAGCAGCTCTAAAAACACATTCAGCTGATCGTTCGTTTGACTGATGCTGAGATTAATTTCTCTCTCTAATTCCCTTTCTGCTGAGAAAGGAATGCTGGTGACGTTGTAGCGTGTTACTCCTCATCTCTCTCCCTGTAAATACAAATCTGCCACAGATGGTTCCTAGATGGAAGGAATGAGAGCGTTTTCTTAGATCCATAAAACATTTAATTCCTTGAATTGAATGTGGAATTATGACATATTTGCCATTTCCAAACTTTAGCTCTGTGCTAAATGCCAGTATTGTAATGGATCCGTCTGGCTGATTCTTAGTCTTTTATTCTCACCCAAAATTTTTGATAAAATGTTAAATTATTGGAATTTTGACTTGTTTACTTTTCCAGTGATTTACCGTGCACATTCCCAAGCTACCTTGGGCCATTTTCCCCCCTACTCCCCTCACGCTTGCTTCCCAAACCTGCCTGGGCTGCTTGATGCTTTGGCACAGCGTTTGGCTTCTGGCTGGAAGATGAGTGAGCAGGTTTCTTTGAAATTAGTGCAAGTCTGAGGAATGATTTAGGTGACTGCTTTCCTCTTGGAGACTAATAACTGCTCTCTGCATGAGACGTTATACTTTTGGCTCTCTTTCCACCCCATCCCATAACACAGACATAGAAGTCTCATTGTCTCTGTAGAGAAGACAATGGTGACCAAGGATTGCCATAGTGGAGGTCTGCTCAGACTTCTGAGACTCTTGAGTGGTTTTGGTGAATACCAGCAAATCTTCCAGGGTAGGAGATGGTCCTTAGATCAAGTGAGAGTGGGACTAATTAAGCAGACCACTGAATCTGTAAAAGACTTGAGGTTTGGTATGAAGATTGCACTCAAATTAGGATAGCTCTCGCTTTTTCCAGACTGCTTGGTTTATTTCCAGGGAGTACATTCCCCGTTGTGTCTAGTTTCTCGTGTCCAATGGCTGCAATCCAAAACAGGTTTATTCTATAATATCGTAAAGTCTGACTCACAGCTCAGTTGGTTCAGCTGAAAAAAAGAGTGCAGAGCAACAAATCAAAAGTCAAATCTCCACATTTCATAGCAATAGATGGAAGCAGGTGCATGGAAAAGGAACAGTACAGAAGGATGAGAGGAAAAGTGAAGTCAGGGTGTGTAGGGGGGGCTTGGCTCTATCTTGTGCATATGCTCTTTCATACAGCTGTAACCAATTTTACTGAGTTTCTAATCCTTCACTGTGATTTCCACAACACACAGCTATAAACAGCTACTTCCTGGCTCATGAGAAGTTTTTCATTAAACACAATAGACTGCAATAAAATAAAGTGGATTTTAAATTGTAGGATATAATATAGGAGTTGGGGGGGGGAGGCTGGGAGGGGAAATTCTTGATTTTAGGAAACCTTATACCACGCTGGACAACTTCCACATTGATTATAGTTAATGGAGCACCGTTAGTTGCAGAGTGTTTATTTTCTGGAATAGATGACCACGACATTCTGTTTGTGAATAGAAAGACAGTGATCAGGTATCCCCTCCAAGCCAGTCTAGAATTTCTTTCCTTCTCAGTCTGCCAAACAAAGCAGGTATTTTGGCAAAGTACTTCAAAGTGTTTATTCTTCTGTGAAGAGAAATGAAAACATGCAGATACTACTGAATCAAACAGTGTTGTTCAGCCCTTCTGCCATCCAGTTGGTTCTGCATGTCATTTGGAAGTCTTATTTTGCTGATTCATCTATGCCCTGTGGGACATAGTGATCCATCATGTGCCCACAGATATAAAAACTAGTAGCAGTGAAAAATTAAGGAACGTGTTTTCATGTACACGTGTATATACATGCCTAGACACATATTCCTTTTGAAAACATTTGAATAAGTGCCAAGGCACATCATAAATGTGGACCAGAATTTCTGAAAAAGATTATCTATATGTATCCCGGAAAAAGCCAGTGGCAGCTGAGTGATTCTATTTTAAATCCCCGCTGCTAAGTCCTTGCTAATTGAGATAGAAATTAAAAAATTGCCATCTTGCTGTTAAGGGATTGCCCATTTTTTTCTGTACGACTGATGCAGTTTAAATGCAGGAGATATTTCTGACTTGATGCTCATACATAATTACTTCTTTATATGACCACTGGAAAAGTGATTTAAATTTTTCTGCTTCCCGTATGAATTAAAGCAAAGAGACATATTTTAGACTACGTGCTCATCAGACTACAGACCACCTTCTGTGGGATGGTAACGGTTTTTGACTGACCTATCTTGACTATCCAGCCTTCAGTAGAGGCAGCAGAATCTGGTCAGTTAGGCCTTGTAAAGATCGAAATTCACTGCAACTGCTAATACATTGCAGGAATGTTTGTTTCCCACAAATTATACCACCTGATATATTTGTATTTTATAATTAATTTTGTATTTACATTTAACAATATTATGTGCAGCAGTTCAGGGCTTGCATTACATACTGGCATGTTAAAATATAAAATCAAGTGCACTAGTGCACTGTTCCCTCAAGCATTTGAAGTCATTCTCTGTTAATGAACTTATAAAACAGAGTCTGAAGTCACCTAATATTGTAATAGAAGTTAATAGTTGTAGCTTATTTTAACAGTCAGTCACTTACACATGTGCAATTTCATTGCAGACAAAAAGGAATTCTTTTCCTAGCGGTAGGGTAATAAAGTTCAGGGTAGTAAAATGCTTCTCTTTTCTTCATCCTTTCATTTATTTGGAAAGGATTTCTTTGTAATTCAGCCGTCATCCCCAGAATGGATTTAAAATATCGTCTGCCCCTGTTTTTGAAAAGAGTTACTTACCCCAAATTTTTATACCCCATATGCAGTTGTAAGCTCTGGAAAATACCTATGTGCTTACATCTCCTATACAGCTCATCTGTCTTTCGTAACTCATTGTTAAGGAGCGAGCGCACTGTTGCAATCACAGTCATCCCGGCGGTTAGCCTCATATGTCCCTCAAATGAATACGTCTCTCTTGTCAAACTTAGGAGCCTAAAAACAGAGCTGCAGATCTGAGGCTTACTTACCCATACCACATGTGGGAAGCCTAAATTTAACTCTTTTCCCTTAGCCTTTTCCCTTCTGCATAAATTCTCCGGAGCTGTGTAATTCTGTGGTGCAAAGGACAAGGTAAAAAGTGGTGGTTTAAAAAAGGCTTAGTGCAGTACAGACTCAAGAGGAAGCAGTCTCTGGTGAACCCCGCTTGTTTTTATGTGGTCTTGGCCACGAACTGTGGTCCTGAAAATGTGATTAATGGCCCTGGAAGTAGAAATGACTGCTTTAAAGGAGAAGCTGCATCTCCAATCCTTCAAGCTCCCCAACAAAAAGAGGACGCTCTTACTCAAAGAAGGGAAAGTTGAAGAAGGCTTCAGGGGTGCTTTTAAGGTGTTAAAAAGATAGCAGCTGTGACAGAACAGACGTATAAAAATTGAAAACAAGTGTTATCATTGCTCTCCTAAAATTTACCCTGTTTACTGCAAAAATGTTGTTTCTTTTTAAGCTTTAAAAAAACCAGCCCTCTCAATTACTTTCACAGTTGCATAATACCACGTTAATCATGTTGGTATGATGGAGGGGCTGTGGTGCCACACACATGCTGGGCAGGCTGCTGGGACCCGTAAGCGTACCTCTTCCCATGCAGGCAAGGAGCTGAGCTATGCCAGAAAAAGGCATCTTTGTAATGATGTAACTGCATTCCCGTTATGGGCTGACCTGCAGCCAGTACTTTGATAAAATCATATTTATTAACTTAGTTCTTCCAATGCAGAATCAGTGTGTAGACCTGGCAGTAGGGTATTTTTTGATTCAGTGGTGGCTGTGGTACAGACCCGAAGGAAGTGGAGAACAAAGCTTCGTGGTCTAAAAAGCAGTCCTGAGCACAGGTCGAGACTGGGGCACTAAGAGCCTCCTCCTGGGCTTCCCCCAAATCCACAAGAGATGCAAGAGGCAGTACTGCTGTAGACAACAAGGATGATTCTCTCTTCTGAACAGCTGTATGGGCTGTGGCGTTGCAGCCTGGAAAGAGGGATTGCTTAGTCTCTCTCTTTGCCCCTTTGGGGCGCATCTGCGCGAAGGCTGCTGCTGCCAAGAGCCACTAACCACAGACCAGGTAACAGGCTCTACAGGGAGGTCACAGTCACGTTTCTGCAGCCCGTGCCATGCTGAAATATGGGTTTATATGCAGCGAAGCATGTCTGTGCTTGCTTGCATCAGTGTGCTGGTCTTCTCCGTACGCTCCTGTGCTTGACGGCATCCCTCAGCCCATCTCTGACAGGGCAAAGGAAGGGGAAACAGAGAAAACGTGTTTCCAGAGTTCATGTCTATAAAGAGGGAGGAAAAATCCCCTGTGTATGAGGGGCAGAGTCCTCACCTCTTGCAGCTGCCTGGTATATGACATATGTAGTTGCCAAAGAGACACCTTCTAGCACGGGACAGCGAGAGAACAAGAGGCATGATGGGGTGTAAAAGCAAAGACCATGTACAACACTGTATTATGCCATATAAATGCTTTGTGAGTCACCTTGCCTAGTTGGTTCGCATTTTGCCACTATGAGGATGGGGAGAGAGGGGAAGAAATTTCTTGCATTTTTTCTAGAGTGGAATTTAAAGCATATGTTGTTAGTTCTTTGTGCTTTCATTACTATTTATACTGTAGTTTATACTGGAGGTGAGATCCAAAGATTACGTCTAGCCTCAAACGAAAAGTTTGAAAAAAGCAGAAAGGTTGTTCTGCACCTGTGAAGGGCTTGACAGATGTATCAGCAGCAGCAAGGTAGAACACTCTTCGTCTGACAGCCAGAGGTCAGAAAACCCTGCCAGTGTCTCCACAAAGGCCTCTACAGCTCCTTTGCCAGTGCCCAAGGTAGATTTATACCACAGGAGAGTGCTGGCAGGCAGGTGGGAACCACCCTGTCTGTTTCCCAGCCAGCCACGCAGGCGAGGAAGGGTCGGTGCCCACTGTGGGTTGACGCATCCAAGGGGGAACTGAGCCCCGGAGCCCCATCGGCTGCCCCGCTGCTGCCCCACCAGCCCTGTGCCAGCTGGCCCTGCCGCATGGCACAGCTCTTGCCCGGCAGAGACAGCTTCAGGACAGCATCTGAGACTGCGTTCAGCTCTCTGGTTAAATCCTGGCAGCTCATGCTGATAACCAGCAAGGATGTAGTAGAAGAATTCAGCTTTTTTCCATGACTATAAATGCATTAGATTTACATTCAGTGTCAGCACCCTTGAGTAGGGGAAGCAATTAGTGAAAGGAGTGACTTTTTCTTTATAAAACCGGCTGGAGGAATAATATTTTTGTTCTCTTCTTTACCAAGAAAACTGCTGCAGATGGGAAGCGACAGGAGATCATTGTATTGGACTCAAAACGAAGCAACACTATTAATATTGGCTTGACTGTGTTGCCCCCTCCCCGGACTATCAAGACTGCTATTTTGAACTTTGACGAATATGCCTTAAACAAGGAAGGAATAGAGGTAAGAAAGAGTAGTCAATGTCTTCAAGTCTACATTTTCAATCTTTCCTTTTTTTTTGATGTTGCACATGATACAGGCCAGACTTTTCATGGAATAGGGAAAAGGGCATGTATTATATTATCACTCGTCAAATCAATGTAGTGTGCTCAGAACCACATAGTAGTGACATGAGGTTGGGCATGCTCAGTAAACATGGATTTCTCTGGTTTGTATGTGTCTAAGTTTGAGTAACGTTGGTGTTAATCCCTGTCAAGATTTTCAGAGTATTATCTGTTCCTCTGGACCTTGACTGAAACACTGTGAGCAGCAAGAATGGGCAGCAAGTTACTAGGGCTGATGCAACTGGTACAGGGTTTAATAAAGTTCATGCCCAGCTAGCTGCTGGAGTCATTCTAGATTTTATATCTAATGGAAAACAAATACAGTGACTAGTTCTGCTCAAAATAGCATTTCTGTGTTACTGTTGTTTGAAGAAAAGCAGTTGGTATAAAGATTACAGATGATGTAATTTTTACCATTGCATGTTCGACTTTGCAGATATTCTTACCGAGATCCAAGATGAGCTCTGTTTATTATTTTTTTAATCAAAACGTTTTGAAGTGTAAAAAAAGCCTGTATTCCCCTGGTTTTTTTCCTTGTGGTTATATTCATTTCAAATATCTTTTTTTTTTTTTTTTTTTAAATAAGCCTATATCATCTAGTAAGTGTAATCTGCACAACTACAAATCTCAAACAGTGGCTGAGCTGCAGAGGTCATGTATTGATTCACAGTCACCTTTCAGTGGTTTGGCACTGTGTTTCATGATTTCCCCCTTTCCACCTTCACTGTGCTGACTACAGAAGAAAATGAGAAAAGCTGGATGGAATGGAAATTGAGTTGCCAACAGTTACATGCTAAAGAAATACTTAAGGCAAAAGATTGTTCTAGCTAGAAGGCAAGGCCTGATTTATGCATACTAGAATATAGTTTCTTCCTAAAGCTATATTATTTATTTGCTATATACATACCTTACTCATATTATGAACTTGACAAATCAGGCTAAAAAAGTAATTTTTCATGACCCAGCCCATGTACCCACCACTGCAGTTTGCAGTACTAAGCTTTCAAGTGTTGGAGAGAAGTAACCCTCTAGCCAAGCCCAACTCACAGACCGACAGTTAGATCTCAGTGCTGTTAGGCAGTGTTTCCATACAAAGTCCAATATAAAATGGCTGAAAAAGAAGGACACATCTTTATCTTCCATGTAGCATCTCCTTTGAATTGTGTCCTTCTCTGGCATGCTTAACAGAAGTTCAGCTGCTCTGCACACCGCACCCTTTCCAGTGCCAACATTTGTAGCTGGGCTGTCCATCTGCCAATCACCTGTGGTGTCCACAGTTGTGAGTGCCTTATACCACCACACCCTCCTTTAGGTGGCCTTTCCATTAGCTGTCAGCAACCATAATTTCATTTAAAATACATATGCAGGTAGCTTTCAAGTTGAAGAATTCAGAAACCAGGAAATGATACACTGTTGATACACTAGCCCAGTGCTAAGGAAAACGGGATTTCTGAGTCCTGTGTCCACAGCTTGAAGCTTAAGGATGTGATTATTCAGATATTTAAAATCAAGAGAAAGTGAATAACCTGAATACGAGCCGGCAGTGTGCCCGGGTGGCCAAGAAGGCCAACAGCATCCTGGCTTGTATCAGGAATAGTGTGGCCAGCAGGAGCAGGGAGGTGATTGTCCCCCTGTACTTGGCGCTGGTGAGGCCGCACCTGGAATACTGTGTCCAGTTTTGGGCCCCTCAGTACAAGAATCATAGAATAATCATAGAATCGTTTAGGTTGGAAAAGACCTTTAAGATCATGCAGTCCAACCATTAACCTAACATTACCAAGACAAACAAGAAGGGCATTGCGGTGCTGGAACGTGTCCAAAGAAGGGCAGGCAAGCTGTTGAAGGGTCTGGAGCACAGGCCTTATGAGGAGCATCTGAAGCAACTGGGGTTGTTTAATCTGCAGAAGAGGAGGCTGAGGGGAGACCTTATCGCTCTCTACAACTACCTGGAAGGAGGTTGTAGTGAGGTGGGTGTTGGTCTCTTTTCCCAAGTAACAAGCGATAGGACAAGAGGAAACGGGCTCAAGCTGCGCCAGGGGACGTTTAGATTGGATATTAGGAAAAATTTCTTCACGAAAAGGATTATGAAGCCTTGGAACAGGCTGCCCAGAGAGGTGGTGGAGTCCCCATCCCTGGACGTATTTAAAAGACTTGTAGATGTGGTGCTTAGGGACATGGTTTAGTGGTGGACTAGGCAGTGTTATGTTTACAGTTGGACTTGATGGTCTTAAAGGTCTTTTCCAACCTAAATGATTCTATGATTCTATGGAGCAGAGCCCAGGTACTTTGCACCTTGAGGGATGAAGCCTTTATTGGTTGGGAAGGATGATGTTCATGGAGAAAAGAGCTTTTTTTTCTCAGTTTTCCATACTTACTTCTTATCAGGTAAAACCCTGCACTGAATTCAGATTCCCTTTCCCAATCCCCAATTTACAGGTTTTTCTTAGAGCATGCTGTTATAGAGTCAGACGGATGTTTATAATGAGATAGAGGGCTGGATTAAGCTATGCAGAATTGGCCAAGAGGTGCAGAGAGATACAGAAATGCATCATTATGAGTCCCACTGTTTTCAGCAAAGCCCTGCCTCAGTTTTCCATACTGCCCCTTTGATCTACAGTGTAGACAAGCTCTCTTCGCTGTTTCTCTTCTCCTCTGTACCCATCTGTTCACTGGCTTTAGCCTTAGAATTAGCTTAGAGGGAACAGGGGTTGTCTTTTCAGTCTAGATTTTTAGAAAGTTTCCTGGTCCACATCTACAGTTCCTAAATATTAGGAGATAATTGGTAGTGATGATGAATGAATCAGTAATAGTGTAAGCATCAGCTTCATTTATATAAAAGTGCAGAGAATAAAGCAAATTGTTTGCTATATAATGTACTTAATCTATGGGTTAAATGAGGCAGGACTGGTATGGAAAAAAAATTACGCAATTTGTCTCATTAAAAAACGGCATCACAGTGGGTACTCAAAAGCCTTTTTGCGTAGTTAATTGTCTAGAAGAGATGTCACAGCTAGTAAGCAGGAGAGAGAGATGCAAGGAGAGCAGGAGAAGAGATGTGATGTGTGCAGTGAGGACATAACATTCACTGCTAAAATTTCAGAGAAGCTATAATTTAGGATCATCTTCAGCTTTTTAGGGGATGCAGCACGGAGCAGGGCACCAACAGGGTATAAAGTCACCTGAGCCATCCATTGCCTTGGCTGTGAGCTCTGTGCTATGTCCCTCGCTGAGGAGCATCATCACCGTCACGTTAGCATGCATGTGGCTTTAGTTCTGCACCTTGGTGGATAAGTTCAGATTAAATGGTATCTTAAAACTGACCTTAGCAATTCCTTTAAGGACAGTGGACTAAAGTAGTGCTGACAGTAGTGCTAGCAACAAGGCAGTGATGCAGTGGGATGCAGGCTACAAGTTTGTGATAGCCCAACTCATCATCAAGTTCACAGTCACCCAGTAAACCCTCTGCTACTGTCCTACATTCTGCTGAATGCTGCTTTGCTTGTGCCATTTAACTCTTGTTAGTAATCCATACTTTGCTTTTTAACTTCAAATATGTAACGAAGAAAAAATTCTCCCGGTATTTTAAAGCCCTCTATACCTAAGTATGTTGTGTATTTTAGGCCATGTGTTTGAAGCAGTTAGGTACCCCTGAGCTGTGAAAAAGGGCAGAAAATGGGGCATGGTGCTAGAAAGGCAGATGTAGGCCATTTAGTATGCAGAGCAGGCACTGTTAGAAACGTATTTTCAAAGGAAGGCACAATGTGTGTCTGCAAGCATGCATCAATCCAACTAAAAAAATTTTTGCCACCTTACGCTTGCCAAAGTGGTTGTGTTTTCCTTTCTTTGAAAGCTTGGCATTCATTGCGTTCAAACAACTTGGAGCTCGCTCCAGGATAAAGAAGTGCCTGCTTAGCATGGATGAGGGCTTTCTGTGAGCTAAGCAACACAGGCAAGCTTAAAATCCTGGCATCTAATTTTAATGAAGTGTATCACGGGCAACTGCAAGAATAGAGTCCACCAAACCAGTCCTTGGTGCTTGTCTTTAATAAAGGAAATGAGTGGGTCCCTCTGTAAAGTGCTACTCAGTAAGGGAACATGGATGGAAATCAAATTATACCAAAGAGTAGGATTAATTTAGCAGAGTAAAATTGGGGTAATGCTGTGAGGAAGTTGAGGTGGGTTGCTTTGTGCTTTAAAATATAGCTTTGTGATGCTACACAATATTGCATTGCATTCGTAGGTGTAGCTTTTAGTAAAACTATTTGAAATGAAAAAACTGTCCAGGTATGCTAGGCCCTTCATACCCACATTTGTTAAGTACTTTGAAGTCCATGTGTCTGGAGTGGCTAGGTAGCCCTGAGATGTAAAAAGGGGTAAGAAGTGAGAGCCTGGTGTTGAAAAGGCAGATGGTGACATGTATAAACAAAAACCAAAATTTGATTTTTGGAAACGATCAAGGTATTTAAGTTTTTGTTCTGATAGTTGCCACAGTATGTTGGCATTTGCAGTTTCCAATTTGTTTAGCTAATGCTTTGTGAAAGTGTGATGGGATGTTTCAAATTATGCTAGCTTGCGTGACCTGAAAGAACATCTCTTTTCACAAGTCTAGAGAGAACAGACTCAATGGTGCCTTGCTTGGCCGTACACCCACGGTCAGCGTATCGCTGCCCTAACGATTTTCAGACTTTACTTAAAGAAAAAATGCTACACTTTCACTCCTTGCAGCAAACCAAAACAACTTCTACAGTTTCTGTGACCAGCAGCAGCTGTCAGTTCCCGATTTACAGGGATGGCTATCAGGCATTTTAGATGTAGTCCCTTCTCAGAATTGGATCATTTTTGGAGGAGCTGAAATAAAATTAGTGCAGGTGGCCTCTACTGTGGAGTCTTGACCTTCATAGGCTTTTGTATTTTGTTAGAATTTCTGCAGGTAATGCAAACCACCAGTGTGTCTTATTAATAGCTGCCTGGAAAGCTGAAGTGTGAGGGCCTTTTTGGAGCTGAATTGTCTGCTGAGGCCTGTCAAATGTCATATGAAATACCCACTAATGTGTATTTGGTTATGCAGCTTACAGATTTGTGGGCCTCGAGCCACAGAAAGCTTCGGACCCAACAACAACCAGATACTTAGTTTACTAATTTTTTTCAGGCTCCTGTTCACCTGGTAAAATCAGCTGAAACCAAATATGAAAGCCAAGGCACCCCTGCAACCTCAGCATCTACTGAGAAGCCCCATTATCTCTTTGAAAGAGATAACTTAAGCACCTAATTTCCGCAGAGGCTCCAGGCTACTTGCAGTCTCCGGTTAGGTGCTTGCTTGTGTCCCTTGCCGAGGCCTGTAACCCTCAGGCATATGGGGGTTATAAGTTTTGCCCTGTGAGCCTTGTAAGGCTTTCCTCTCAGAAATTTTTGGAGCTCATACATCAGGGTGGCTGAGTTCAGGAAATAAACAGTTTGATCCCTTCGCTGAAAGTTCAAGCAAGTAGCTGGGTCCAGCAGTCCGGGAGCAGAATAATTAGGATCCACTATCTCATGTGAACAGGATCTCCAAAAAATTACTTCTTTTTCTCCATGAGCAGATTTGCGCGCTGGTTTTCCTCAGAATGTTAGTCTCTGGCCCAACCAGTTGTGTGAGAATGCATGGAGGTGAAATACATGTATCTCACTTATTAGAGGATACGAGCATAGGATTTGTTGATAACCAGTTCTTTAATCGACCTAAAGAGTGCCGTACTAGGGAGAGTGTTACAAACTAATGATTAGGTTCAAAGCTATTTGTGATTTAATGGTCACATCAAGTGCCAGTAACCTTTTGCCCTGCTGTGTTTTTATGCTACTTTTACTGTCAGTGATGCTTAAAAAAAAATTAATAATAAAAATAATAATAAACTGGCAGATGGTGTACTCATCAGTTTCCAGCGCTGAACAAACAGCTCAAATTAGTCATAGAGTGGAAATCAAGAATAGGAGCATTTTACCACTTACTCAGGGGCACACCGAGGATGATGACCAGCAGGATCAGAATTATTTGCCCGAGCAGATTAGAAGTGCCAATGAGTAAGTCACTGTTACAGGGGCAGTTGCACCCTGGATGGTACGAGACCTGCCAGCAGCTCTGGTCCCATCAAGGCAGAGCTTTCAGCAGCAGGGTGATCCTCGGCAGCTGGCACCACAGATACAGGCTACTTCGCTTGGCGTTCTGTGTTTCACATACTGCGGTACACGGCACGGCAGCCTTGCAGTACTTGGACTCAAATGCTTTTTGTCAGCTCCATCTGGCTTGTGGTGTTTACATAAAGCTCAAGGAGGAGGAGAGTCCCTTTGGAAATAAAGCTTATTGTTTCATTGCTCTCTTTAAACTGCCCGAAAGCAGTGCAAAATCTCTGGAGTGAAGGCTCTGCACCACCACAAAATACTTGTGGGATCCCTGGGTAGCTACCAAAAGCCCTAGTTATTTTTAGGAGGCAATTGAGAATACTGCTGAAGTGTTAGCCTTCAAAAATGCATCAGAAGCATTTTTACATCCATCACATGACTACTGCTGAACTCTCCATGTATGGATGTTCATATGATCCTGTTTGCCAGCTGCCCTGGCTCAGCCGAGGGGGTGTTGGCTTCTTCTTGCTGAAGAGAGGAGTAGGCACTGGGAGGCTCGACTTCTTCAAAGGACACTCTGCAGAACACCTCTTCTTAGGAGTTTCACACTCAGGCTCTCTATGAACTTTTTTAGATGAATGTTGGTTAAGCACTGAGAAATGCCCTGAAGCAGCTACTTATAAATCTCTAGTTTGATGTTAGGTATGACCTAAGTTACAGATTTCAGCGTGTGTGGATGGATGGATAGATAGCACATCTCAAAATCAATACACAAATGTTATCAATCAGAACAGGTGTACATCAGAATATTTTCCAAATGGTCATTGACAGAGGAAGGAGAAGAACCAGAGTGTGTTAAGGGATTTTCCTCCTCTTCTTTTTTCCTTAGGATATTAATTTATTATAGGTATTATAAGGTAGAAGCTTGCAGTGTCCAAGCAAGGGAATTTTTGGGGTTTTTTTTGTTTCTTTTGGGGTTTTTAACTGAAAGGCAGAGCCAACATTAACAGAAAGAAATGCTTCTTTATTTACGTTTATGGAAGTCAGCATAAGAAGATGCACAGCAACACAAATGCTGTGGCTGAAATTAAATAAGTCCCAGTTCAACAAATTGAACATTATTTGCCTGCTTAACTCTTGTTCTTCGCCTGATTGACCAGAAAAAGTCCCTTGCTCTTCATACTTAGCTCCAGCGCTGTACAAGGAGCCAGATGAATTATTGGTACTGGAAGGGCGCAGTTGTGCTACTTTGATGAATTGGCTATGTCCAGCACTGGAACAAGGCTGTAGTTTGGATTGGCAGGTCTGATAGCTCTTTGGCTGTATTTTTATTATTCTCTCCTCCCCTCCAAAACAGCTTCTATCATTATAGAAGGCTACAGCAAAAACATGTCACTCCTCAGATGAATAAACAAAAGTTGTGCTGAAAATCTACTGCTTTGTTTTAATGAGGCATTGATCAGCAGGGTAAAGACCTCAACTTATCTGATGCCTTTGTGTTGTTTTGATTTTCATTTTCATTTTAAAATGCATTTATTATAGTTAAAAGCTAATTAAGAAGCAATACCTTAGAGAGCAATTCTCTGAGAAGGAAAGCTGCCACATGTGAACAAGCATGTAAAATCCAAGAATTAAAGGGAAAATATAAATGTTTTGAGCCATACTGACAGCAGAAACTGAAAATACTGAGATCCTTTTTCATCAATATTTTAAACTTTTCAGATCAAAAGAGAAAAAGGCCATATGTTATGCAATGCATAATACAACTTGAAATTCAATGTATGTTCCCTGGGAAGTTGTCCTCAGTTTGGGTGAATTTTTGGGAGTGACCTAATAGGCTGCAATAGTTGTCATGTTTCATGAAAACCAAAACAGACTGAACAAAAAATAATAAATGATGAGAACAGCAAGGGACAGGAGTCCTCAAGTTACTCCTGTATACCTACAAGTGCACTGGAAGATGTGTAGATGTTGAGGCTAAAAGCGACCTGCTATCTAGTCTGACCTGCTGTAAATCACAGGCCAAAAGATTTCACTCATTCTACCCTCACTTCTGTATGTAATTTGCAGAAAGGTGGCCAGTTCTGATTTAAAGATATGAAAGCTGAGGAGAGCAGTCCTAACCAGACTCCCTGTCTTTCTTCAGTGTTTGGTCCCGTGATTAACCGTATCCACTGACTGCAAACTTTAAAAAATGCATGTTAATACAGATATGTTTTTCAACTGCAGATGTTCAAGACAGCAGGCCTTGTTGTGCTCTCTTGTGCGGTGGGTTAGTGCTTGGTTACTACACTGCTGTCCTAATTTACCAGCCAGTGACTAAGGACTTCTGCCGTTGCTGCTAAAAAGTCACCCAGTGTCACAGGAGCTCAGGCAAAGTCCAAGTGAAGCTCGTCGCATGAGCCTGTGCTGCAGGAGCCCTTGCCACAGGAGCATCCCCGTGCCACTACGTCCAGCCCTTGCGCATCTCTGGGGCCTGCCGCTGACGCCTGCCTTTTGTCTCCCTTCGCAGAAAATCCTGACCATGATCCCGACGGAAGAGGAGAAGCAAAAGATCCAGGAGGCACAGCTGGCGAACCCCGATGTCCCCCTGGGCAGCGCCGAGCAATTCCTTCTCACCCTTTCCTCCATCAGCGAACTCTCCGCCAGGCTCCAGCTCTGGGCTTTCAAGATGGACTATGAGATAGTGGAAAAGGTGAGGGGAAAGCGGGGAGGCAGGGGTGGAGACTCTTCCGAGGCTTTGCTTAATCTTTCCCTGACCTTGTTACTATATGAGCGTATATTTTGAGGAAACGGTAAATGGGTCGCTTTTGTTTCGGTGGCCAACCAGGAAACAGCTAAAATGACCCTTCATAATCTTTTCCCTCTGTAAAAGAAAATTAGAGATTATGTCTTCCTTCCTTTAATTAGGCAGTAATGATATTGGAACAAAGAAGGCAGCTAAATCTTTACCACATCTTCTCCAGATGTTGTTTTTCAGGAAATTCTTACTTCAGAGCAGTAAGAATTTTTCTTTGGATAAAGATTGAATGAGGATTACAGTATTCAGCCTTACATTGTAAAATGAGAGTATTGATCTTGCATGCATTTGAACTAACAAAAACGCCATCCATTAAAGTTATTTCTCTCAAAGTTATAAACAAAAGATAAGGTTCAGTTGTCAGTTCAGTCACAGACAGTTGTTACCGCCTTCTTCATGGATGGCATTTATTCAGAGAACACTGTAATTGGGTTGTCTGTCATGTATGATGAATCACAGACAAAAATTTCAAAATGACAGCGTATAATTTTGGTGCATAGGTGAAGCAGAATGAAACTGTGTAGGCAATTTCAGCTACTTGCTGACTTTCACAGGCTCTTTCAGGAATCTCAGCGCAGGAACCTTCTTCCAGCTGTGCTTCTGGTGCATAGCCTGTGCATTGCTCTTCAGGCAGCTCTCCTGTATATATTAATTTTGTATGTGTAGCTGTGCACATATACATATATTAAAAAAAATGGTGTAACTGTGTGTGATATGGATTATGGGACATGCTTCTGAAAATGCCTTACGTTTACCTAGCCATGGTTATTTAACAAGGTATACAACAGTGGATTGATTTGCAGGTGATACTGTCAAGATTACTCAACTTCTGTTTAATTTTCTTAGATTTTTAGGAAATGCAATCACACTAATATTCAGAATTTTTTAATTGTGACATTTTAGTCTTAGACATTTACATTTCTGACTTGTAAAACATAAAATACTTGTATCTGGCCTGAATACTTTTTTGCCAGGGTTTGGTTTTTTTTTTTTTATTCTGGTACAGCTATTTATTCTGCTTTGAAGTTACCACAGGCTAAATTGTTCCTTTCATGTGAGCTGAGTTAGCTGTAGCTGTCAATCTATGTCTATACCTAGAATTTCTAGCTCCTTCTCAATCAAAAATTAACAGTTGAAGCACTGCTAAAACCTAAAGAAATTCTGATAGTTTTCCTGTTGCTGATCCTATAATGTTTATGCCACAAAGCTAATGAACTGCCAGCTAAAATCCATGTAGAATGAATATTAGTATAAAGTCTCAAATACCTACATTACTCAAAGTAAGCGATAGCAGGAGTGAAGATAGGACCAAGATTTTTATCCCTGTTGAAAGGTAGATAGGCCTAAGTACAGTACATACCATAAAATGGTACAGGAATTAACATATGATAACTCTGATAAAGTAAGAGGAGCATGTGATAAGAAGCCTAGCAGACAAGCATAGATATGAAAGCTTGGGTCTCAGTTGGGTGAAGAAGAAGATATGGGATCAGGCATCAGAGGTGCAAGAGAGCGAGCAGGTGGGTCTCTCCAGTAACGACAGGTTAAAGTCAGAGTTCCAGTTCCAAGTAACCAATACACATAAGCGTTATTTAGACTGAGATAAGATACCATGAGCATAGCAATTAAAAAATGAAGTAGTTTGCATTAATGATTATAAGAGTCCCAGGACTTGCTAATGTTACTTTGTTCTTGAAACTATGGTTTTGCAGAAGATCCATCTGCAAATGGGCAAACCCTTTGTGGAACTTTGGTGCCAAATCACTTACCTTCACAGTTTTTGTCATTTTTTTGTCCAGTATTTGCTTGGGTTTTTTTAAAATCTATTTTAAAATTAGGAAAATTCATAACAGTTCAGAACGCGCTCATATTATTTATCGAGTCATACATATATTTTATGTAAGAAATGAATGAACCTTGCTATTGTTTCCATGCAGCTGGAAGTTTTAGATAGTCCATGATACCAACAGTGTGAAATACCTGAGTTGTTGATGTAAGGCTGGGGTTCCCATTCATGAGACTCTTTTGCTAACCAGCCGAGAACAGTTTTGCCTAAGTAGGTCTTAGCTCCATCTCTGACAACCTGAAAGAAAAACAGCATGAAATTGTTCAAGAAAAGGGTTAAGTGAGATATTGTTCATGTTTGTAGAAAAGCTTTCCGGGTGTAATCAAGGAAGTCATCTTTCTTGGATTGAATTTAATTAACTAAAGCAAGTCAGGGTACATTTGTAGGGAGCAGCCTCAGTCTGTGAGGGGCTGAACTGGATGAATGAATACTCATTCTTTGCTTTTTACAGAAAATAGAAAAGGAGAACCCTTTCCAAATGATCTATTTGATAATGTGTATAATGTTTTGAAATGTTAACATGTATCTGAGGTACTGTATGCCTACTGAAGGTCATCAGTGGAACAATAATTTTTCTCACCTTCCTTTTGGTATAATTTTTAAAGGCATAGACAAAAGAGGTAGAGTTTCAACTTTAAATCTTCATTTTCAGACTTTTGGTTGCTCTGAAAAATTACACTGTGTTACTTCTAGTTCTTTGTACTGAGCTATTTCTGATGCAGATGCTGTCAAACTTCATTATCTCAAAGGGAGATTAAAGGCCTTAGAAAAAGGAATAGAATCTTTAGTTGTCCTAAATCAGATTGTTTTTTTCTTAAGGTCACTGTGGGCAAATATATCCTTATTGCTGACAACTTTAAAGGGTCATAAATGAATATAAGCAGGTGTAGAAATGAGAAAAGTAGAACTGGTAAAGAAAAGGGCTTGCTTCAGTTTCTCTTCTGAGCAGAAAGATTACTCCTGACTCTCGTCTCCCTGGAGACAGTGTGCTAGAGAAATAAGTATTCAAAAAGATTGTACTTTTGAGTGATGCTTAAACTGTCTAAAAATTTTAAAAAGTGCATCAAAGCTTTTTAAGTTTTACAGTATGATCCTGATACTTTGTGTTGTTTTAAAAGGTTATGATACTTTATGGAGGCTGGTCTTGATGAAATGCAAATAATGGCAAATTTCACTTTGGTCATCTCAAAGTTCCCATCCCAACCAAGTTTTTACCCCTCTCAGAAAAGCATGCATGTGAACTTGTATAGGTGCAGTAAGCTAAACTTCTTACCAGTATAGCAAGTTGGTAACAATATATATGCCAGATCAGCTGTACAGAATGTGTGTGCTACGTCCTCCCTGTCCCAGGACCACTGGATTCATTGCACACATATAGCTGAGTTCATTTGTGCATGTGTGTCAAACATTTATCAGGCATTATCAGATGTCTTTAGCCAGAGATTCTGGACCAATCCTCAAATTTCATTCAAGCAAAATTTTTAGGTGAAAAATAAAAACATGGTAAATAAGGATACATGATATCTAAGGATATGAGGTAGCTCTGCATTGTGTATCTACCCTCTTTAGGTAGAAGGTGAGTTTTATAGGGAGCAAGAATGGGTATTTCATCTGGTTATAGCACACTGGCTTTTATTGTTTTTTAATGCTACAATAAAATAAAAAATAAAGAGTAATTATAAATGTGTACTATACGCAAGAAAGTCCAAGCTTGGATAACTTGCATGTAAATAGCTAAATGAAGGGCCACAGTATGGCCTGCTTTGGAAGCCTTTTATGATACCTTTTTATTCACCTTCAGAATGTTTATTAGAATGTTTAATTTATAACCTTTTAGGAATGATTTTTTAACAGGTTGCAAATTGATACAAGTAAAATAGTTCAAAAGCCTGCATTTACAGCAGATGCAGAGCAGTTTGATTCATCCCCATAGTGCTACAAAACAAACTAAATCAACCCTGACTTTACAGCACTTCAAAGAATTCTGTGCAGCAGTTTATTGATTTTAGTTTAACTTGATAAAGTCTTGGATTATTTAGCACCTCTCTTCTGACGTATAAATTACTTTGCTCATTATGCCGTCTCTTAATTTATCTCGAATTTGCCATATTCTTTTCTTTTCAGGAGATAAATTGTTCTGTAGTGACTAGAAATGTATGTTTCCTTCATCTTTGTGCGCTTATTTATGGTAAAATACCACTGCAGTTGTTGAGTGACCCATTGTATTTCTCCAAGAAAGTGAAGTTCTCAGCTATTTTGCCTCTTGGTCCAAAATAACAGATTAATTTTGGCTTCTTGGTCATAAAGAGTGTAATAATTTGGGAAAAGAATGCTGCTCACGGATGCTTAGGATGGCATTTGGAGATAGAAACAATGTGAACTGTTACTGTGCATACAAAATAAATAACCCTGGGCCTCACACAAAGACATAGAAATAAGCTCCGTCAACTCAATTGCCCTCTCTCTCTTCCTTTGAACTCTCTGGTGTAGTTCACTTCCCAAGGTAATGGAACAGAATTTATGTTTTCAAGCGTTATCAGTTTACATACCTATCCTCAGATAACATGTGTGGATGGAAGATGCATTAAGTTAAAAGATTAAAATGAGAACACTTTGTTCATGGTTGCAGTGGGTTTTTTTTTTCAGTTTTAAAGTCACACAAGCACAAAACCATATCTAAAACTCAGAGGTGGCCATCATTTGAAGAAGGCTTTAGGGTCAGGCTACAAATGTCAAGTCAGCCAGGGTTCTAACTATTTTTTGTTTGTTTTTCAAACATTAGAAAAAGTAGTTATAAGAAGCTTTTTTATCAGTTGGGGTAGGGGGATGTCCATGCATCTAACTCAAACGTAGCAGCCCCTTCTCTGATTCTCTCTCTCCTGTTTGGAATCACAGAATAATACCCGGGACAAGTAAGGCACTTGCATACATAAAGAAGCAACATTAGGAAAGTATTTTATGTATTTTCTTGCTGTCCTTGCATGTGATTTATTAGCTGGAACATGGAAGAAAGCCAGCACACATGGCCAGTTTGCACTCTGCAAGACACCAGTGCAGGAACTTTTTGCAGTAATTAATCTAAACCATAGAATTAAAAACTTAAAGCAGCTAGAGCCAACTGCAGCCTTCACTTTCTTGTTTCTGTTCTCATGGCAGGAAGTTGCAGAACCACTACTAGACCTGAAGGAAGGAATGGACCAACTGGAGCACAATAAAACTTTGGGATTTATCCTTTCTACTCTACTAGCCATTGGGAACTTTCTGAATGGAACCAACGTAAGCCTGATGTCCCAGCGTTTCCCCTGCAGCTTTTTCCTTCAAAAACCAAAAGTCAAAACCATTAGGACAGTTTCAACCCAGCATTTATTTTGTACCAGAAAAATAACTGAGAAAACAGAACCTACTTTTTCTTTTTATTGTGTGTCAGGGTACTCTCTGCCTCTTTCAGCATACCTGATGGAAATGTGGAGCAAGGCACTCTTCTGCTGTAACTCCCTTGGGTTTAGTGTTGACGCTCCGCATTCAAATTGTGAGAACTGTGTCATGAGTCATTTCACTGCAGATGGAGTGATTTTAGGACTGCACTTCAGCAAGTTAAAAATAAATAAATCCAATAAGTTTCTTCTCCTGTAGGATTCTTCTTCTTCTTTCCCCTCTGCCCCTACTTGATAATCATTTTTGTCTACTAATCTGCATGGGAAGTAGTAAACATTTTTATTTTTAATTTCTACCCTTTTTTCCCCCCTTACAGGCCAAAGCTTTTGAGTTGAGCTACCTCGAGAAGGTTCCAGAAGTCAAGGACACGGTGCACAAGCAGTCCCTCCTGCACCACGTCTGCACTATGGTGGTGGAAAAGTTCCCAGACAGCACTGATCTTTATTCAGAGATCGGGGCCATCACTAGGTCAGCCAAGGTATGTCTAGTGGGTAAATGTATATATGTTTTTAAAAACCCTCTTTAAAGTGAAATATTTAAGATTTTGTTTTATTCGTTGATTTTGTTCCTCCCCAGTCACAGCATTTTGTACGAATGCGGATTTGTTGTGTCATTTCCACTGAATTTCAAAGATGACAGTACTCTCTCTTCTGAGCTGTACATCTGTCGGTCAGGTGATTTCCTTATCAATGCACTAATAGGCAGCCACATTATGACAGCCATTTTAATGTTATATACATTATTAATGTATGTAACTATTAGGAACTATTTGCAGGTTAAAACTTTATTTGGCCAGTATCTTCAAATGTATTTATTCTGTGGTTTGGGGTAATCTCTTTTTTTAAGGCAGATGCCTGATTGTATTTTAAGGGCAACGGAAGGAATGAACTTTTTTGGTAATAAAATTGTTTCCAGAATGAAAGTGTCCATGAAATATTTTGTTTAACTCCTTTTCTGTCCTCCTCCTGACAATAATTTTGATGATTAAGAGTTAGGGAAGATAAATAGAAAGAAAGGAAACTTGTGGCAAGACCTCTTTTTAAAAAGTGGTAATCCCTTGGCTAATGCATAGGTCTGATCAGTGGCTCAATTTGGTACGCAAATTATTTATTACTGCTGCTAGCAGGCATGATAGAAACACTGTAACCTCACTCTTGGAGCTCTCAGAGTGTGAGATTTCATGGATGACCCTTAAAAACAGTACATTACTTGATTAAAGGAGTAAACATGACAGAATATCATCAGGAGATAACAACCATGAAGATTCTAGTTCGGAGTCATCTCATGTGAAAATGGAAATAATTACAGCAGATACTACTAGGATCCATCTAGTCCAGTGTCTTGATTCAGACAGTGGCCAATACCAGCTGCTTGAGAGGAGAGCACAAGAAGCTTTGAAGGAAGAGGAAGATCTCTCCTAGAAAAATTTTATTTCATGAGCCATAATAGTCATTATATGCATCAAATAGAGGAATGATTTCTTTTCCAAAAGCCACCTTGTTTGGATATGGGGAGAGACCCTGTATAATACAATTTTTTTAAAAACTGCAAAAATCAGATCTTATTTTGGCTCCTAGCACAGTACTTGTGAGAGTGAATTCATAATCAAATTTTGTCTGCTGTTGGATTTGCCAGTTTCATGATTTACTGTCTGAATATATTGAACAGTTGAAACTTTTTTAATTGCTCTATTTCATAGAATAACTTAGGTTGGAAAGGACCTTTGAAGGTCATCTGGTCCATCTCCCCTTTCAGTGTAAGACCAAATTAAATGAGGCTGCTCAGATCCTTGTCTAAGTCTCAAATAATCCTTCTACATCTTTTTTTTGAGACCTTTTCCACACTTTTGCTCCATCTTACGTTTTAGAATGGGTTAAAGGATAGCAAACACAGTGTTCCAGCCTCCCCTTATAAAAGTTGTATGCCTACTATGTTTGTCCATTCTGCTTGTGCTATCTTTTGTTAGATGTCCTGATGTTTTCTTTGTGGTTTTTGACTGTTGCTATCCTTTTGACACTAGTTGTCTTTGGGCAGTTTACAAGGACATCCAGGCAGTCTCCTGAGCTGACCAGGCAATTCAGAACTCAGCCCAATGCACAAAGGAGTCCAGTACTGCCTGAAGTAGTACTTTCATTAAAAGTAACGCAGCCACCAAGCCAGGAAACATGAAATTGCTACTCTACCCTTAATTGGTTTAGTGGTGGACTTGGTAATGTTAGGTTAATGGTTGGACTAGATGATCTTAAAGGTCTTTTCCAACCTAAACGAGTCTATGATTCTATGATTCTGTGATTCTAAGTGTGCACTTCATTGCGATCTACAGTGATGACCATGACCTGCTGAAGCAGATTTACTGCTTAACTCTCAAACCCCTAATAATCTTAAAGCAGGATTAATCTTCAAAATTTCTTGCTATCTGTAGATTTTACCCTCTCGCTGTGCTTCCTTGTTTCCAGATAACTTTGAAATACAAAGTACAAAGCATGAGACACCTGCTGCTAACCCTGTCATCAGATGAGAATCAATATGTATTCCTTCTTTTCTTTTGCTCTCTTAACCTCACACTTCATAGGTGGCCTCCCGTGAGGCTCTTGTAAAGATTTTGAAAGTCTCATTTTCTTTACTTGCTCTTATCCATCCACTATTTTATAAACATATTCAGAATCCAGTGATTATTTTGATGTATTTAATTTCCTGTTATTCATCCTTTCAGCCAGGTTACCAGGTATAATAATAAAGCTTGGAGCTCTACAGTCTTCTGAATCAACCTTGCTGCTTTTGTAAAAATAGGTGAAAACTTTTGCTATCTTCTCACTCTTTAAGTTACTAAGTGTAGTGAAAGCATACTCAGTTTAGGTAGTGGCTCAATTTCTTTATTTTAATTGCTGTCAGAATTCTTGTCTTCTGCTTGTTTACTGCTTCATAAGCTATCACCCTTCTCAAACACATTTGTTTCTGCTAGCAAGTATTCAAACCTTGCTCTTAGTTCACGTCTATTAAAAAATAAAATACAGAAAAATAAAAGCAGGTGCCAGAGTAGGTTTCTCACCAACATCCTCTGTGGTGAAGTAGGATGAAAAGAAGTCATCTTGCTTCCCTTCCCTAACTTTTGTCTTCCTCAGTTTCTTTCATCCCCAGTGATTCAGGGCTTCCTACATATTTTCATTTTTTTGGATACCATAAAGGAATTTGTGGCTTTTGTTTTATAGCCTTAGATATTTGCTCTTTGGATTCCATCTCTGTTCTCCTAATTTTCCTCTTGTACAGCCTATGTTTAGGCTCTGTTTTATTGCCTTCACTAAGGTTGGTTTCTCATGTTTGGAAGGGTTTAGTTAATGCTTTTTTTTCTTTGAGTGATTCTTCATCTCTTAACATTTAGGTATATTGGTTTCTTATTTCCTGCTTCTTCTCTTTGTTAAGAAGTTAATTCATTTTTTTTTAGATTGGGACCAAGTTAATTGCTAAAATGAAAATCACCATAAAAGAGAAGAGCCCTTGTTTTCCAAAATCCATGCCACCACGTATGGAGTACTCTGAAATTAATCTTCTACTTCTATTTTTCAGTCTTAGAAAGTGGAAGAAAGCCTAACCTAATGCTGTCACTCATAAAAAATTTTTAGGTCTAAGAGCGTATAAAATTGAGCACAGTCTTTCAGTCTGTGGTTTGGTGATCTTAGTGGCCCTGCCCAAAGCGGACGAAATTCTGAAAAGGCCAGACAAAATCACATTAAGAGAAATTATAGCCTTAACCTTCCCCATGACGCCCAAGGTCTCCCTCCTTGGGATGTTCCTGCATGTGTTATACCACTGATGGATTACTGTAACAAGCTCTATTCCCGCTTGATCTTAGCTGCCACAAATCAAAGAGTTAGGATGTGGAAGCCATCCAAGCTGCCCTCTTCAAGGGAATGTTCACAGACGAGGCGAAATCTTGGTTTAGGAAAGCTGACAGGAAAGGAGAACTAATATTTCACTGTGGATTAGGCTGTATTTTGAGCTCCATGTTGTCTACAAACATCTTTTAGAAACCACAAAGGCTAAACAATTTCCATCCTGTAGATAAACAGAGATGCCCCTTTCCCTGAGATGCACATCATATGAGAATTTCCCGATCCTTAGTTCATAAAAAAACAAAAACATAAAGAAAACAGGCTGCCTCACCAGAAGGGAGTTGGAAAGACCAGAAACAAAATGGTATAGTTATTGCAAAACTTGTGGCTTTTTGTTGAAGGGCTGAAGTCATAAATGGCAAGAAAGCAGACACAAGTGAAAAAATGACCAAAAAATAGCATTCTAGATAAAAAAAGTATTCGTAGTTGTATAAAAATATATAAGATCATGCAGGGCCACTGATTGTTTAGTATCCCATGATTAAAAGCACTAGCTTTTTTTTTTTCTTTTCTTTTTTTTAAACATATTTTAAGTTGTTTTTTCAGTGGAGTTGTACCAGAACTGATGTACCCAAAACTGAAGCAGACCCCCAGATTTCTGCAGTTAAAGTCAGTATTGTTGCTAAAAGTTTCTTTATGAGTACGGCAAGGAGGGGTTGCATCAGCACTAGTATCTTCTCTGTTAGTGAATAAAAAAATGTATTCTTATTAAAAACGTTCATCTTCTTTCTCATGCCCATAAATATTTCTCCCCATGCATCTGAAAGCTGGCCAGCTCCATAGAGTAAACTAGTAATTGTCCTTTTCTCCCCCTAATTTTAATTTACTTACAAAATGCCAGACTTCTAGCTGGTTTTTAACCCCTGCAGCAAGACACTTGGATTAGTTGCAGATAACTAGGCAATGGAGAAGCAGGCTGCTTTTAAAAGTAAGCAACAGGAAATGTTAACACCACAGGGGAGGGGGCAAGGATTGCTGGTAGGAAAGAACTTAGAATGAGACCAAGACGTACACAGGAGAGTAGCAAGCCTGCAGCTGCCCTCTGAGGGACTCGGCAGGGAGGCATGGGGAGAAAGGAGGTGGCTGAAACAGAAGTGCCATTCTGGCAAGCTGTAGCTTCTGCTTGATACGTTGGAATGCAGAGAGAGGAGAAAAGGAAAAAAAAAAAGCGAAGAGCATGCTGCCTCCTGTGCTGCTTCAGTGGGGTTTCTCTTGTCTCGCTTGACAGGCAGTATTTGTGTGCAATTATCATTCAAGTATGCTTTCCCTATATTATTTCAAACAAAAATAAATGCCAGAAGTCAAATTATTTTCCATGGGAAAAAGGGGCTGGGGGATGCTAGGTTTCTTGCGGTTGTAGCATTCCTTCTGGTGCCAGCTGCAAGGACTGCTGCAGCTGCCCCAGTTCCTGGCATGGGCTAGTGGGAGCCAAGGTGAAGACGGAGACTGCTGGTTGCAGGGCAGACCGGGGCAAGGGGGAAGGAGCTTCAGTGGCAGATGAGACTTCAAGGTTTTGTCTGAAAGAGAGCAAATGAAGTTCAGCGCATGTGCCTGACAGCATTGAGATGTTTCAATAATTTCCAGGTGA